AACGTTATGTCATTAAAAACTGAGCTCTTTGGAAAACTCCTTTCCGGGTTTGTCATGACACTAAGTTCGCCTTCATCCTGGTTCACATGAGGCCATTTTGTGCAACTTCTCACAGCTAATCTTCTGCTATACTGAGGAACAAAAGCCCCAGAACCAGTCCAGACGTGGTTCCCTTCTTTCTCAAAGTATGTTTGGTGACTTTCGACTGCAGGACGCGATGTGGCGCCAACGTCTACACAAACTGGCCCATCATCGGGTCTTATGGTCTTTCTGCGATGTCCGTCAACTCTAAGCAGTGCACCAAAACAAGTAGCTACTGGACTTTACTCCACATAGAAAACAGAACAACAGAGGTGAAGATGGTGAAGCTAGAGGGCCAGTAAGACCCCCACAGCCACCCCACCCTGGAGTTTTCTACCCCACAAAGAGGTTCTATAGAAGTGGTTCTTGTATTGAGAACCTGCACAAAGGTTCTAAGACCGCCTACGAGTTCCTACAGTGGAAGAAGGTTGGTAGCTTAGAGGAACCAGAACTGACGACTCCTGGTTCTGGTCTTCTGGGTCTTTAGCTGTGTTTTCGGGTGTTTGTATGGGCAGAGATTTGGTTTTTTGAGAACAAAGGAGGAGAAAGAAAAGATTTTTAACGATACCTGTGTGCCAGTTTTCCACAATATATTCCTTCAACGTCAAACACGTCAAGTAACAGCTTCGTTTGTTGGATGCAGAAAGACAACTTGGCCTTTCAGAGGCTGATCTACCAGAGAAGTCCGTCTGATGGAACATCTTTTATGCTAATTTATGGGTTCCTGGATGCTCTGAGTTTAGTTGTATGGCTTAACTTAAAAGAGGCCACATGTGCAGCAGAAAAACAGCAGAAAATGAAGATTTGCGAACAAAAACCAACTGTATAGAAACAAGTCGACTCCACACGAGTTGATGTCAAACAGAAACAGGTTCTCTGCAGGCAAACCGACTGATTTAAGCATTTAAATCGGCGCCACGAAGCTCCGTACGACGAGTGCAAAGCCGGATCTGAAGGTCATCCACAGTACGCCGTACGAGAACGAATCCAAACCACTTTTTTCCACCTTTTTAAAGTCGTTTCTATCTCACACGGAGATGTTCCCCCGACAGGATCGCCCACTTCATTCAGGATGATTCATTCTTTCCAAACATCGTTATTCAAATCATCTGCTGAAGAGTTTCCAAACGGTTCACACTCAACAAAAGACTTCACCCTAAAAAGTCAGCTGAGAGTTCCTGTTTTGTTTTTTCATATTGCAGCATTAAACACATCACAAAAAAGCAAATGTTTTCTCCAGCAGGACGAACATCTACGAGCTAACTCTGTCAGAAACACCAACACATGAGCAGCCCTGTCCGATATCTGATTTGTTTTGTCCGTAACACAAACACTAGTAGAAGGACTGTTTTGGATTTGCCGTTTGCTAAACTGATCAGAATCTCAACCTCAAACCTCCAAAGGATGTCCAACAAAATGAACATTTCCATAATTTCCTTCACAAATTCTACAATAAAAACAATAAAAGTGGGCGTCGTAGAGTAAAACTCATTCAGCTGAGAGGCTTCGATGAGTTTAAAGAGAAGAAATGTTTAGATGTTGAATCTGCAGGAAGCCCAACATGAACCAGATCACCAGAGTTTATTATCAAGTTTTCTGCAACTCATCTGTAGCAGAAAAAGCTGAATTCACGTCTACGTCTTTAGTTTTATATCTGCTTCTCCACAATAAAAGTCACTTGTGCTGATATTTGTTGTTTCTGAGCAGCAGCAGGAATGTTGCCTCTACTTTCTATCTGCACTTTGCATCAGGGCTGGAACAGGGCTGATCCCAGAGAGGTGACACAACGGCTCCGAATAAGAGCTGATAAAGCGAACAGTCCGACCCGGACACATCCTGACACGCTGGAGGTGCAGCTCTGCGGAGGAAACTCTCCTCTCAGGCAGGTTTTAACAGTAATGCCAGGGCAGGGCAGGCGGACTCTGGTGAGTTCTGGCTCCGCTTGTGGTTGTTTACTTGACATTCTGGGGGTTTGTTGGCCCTCCAGGTGATTGAAAGCCTCCGGTCCTGCAGGTGGGAAACTGGAGTCGAGGCTTCTGCTCTGAAAACCGTGTTTGAGCCTCAGTTCAGCCACAAGCAGCTCGTGTTTTCAAACTGCAAAGCTCCTGCCAGCGTTAAGCCGCATTATCCTGAAGCGGGATAGGAAGGATTGAAGAGGCACACCACCGTCAGGGCGGCGGCATTTACATACATGATGCTCTGCTGGAATTTTCAAAATAAAATGCGTTAAAATCCGGTTCACGTGCATTTTATTGCTTAATACGAGGAATCTACCTTAGAGTTTGGGTGTATGACAGCTACAACTTAAAAGAAGGATAAAATTTTGAATTTTCAGTGCGTTTTACGTGGTAGTCAGTTGCAGAAACATTTAAATATACACTGTTTTCAAGCTTTAACACTCTTTTATCAGGCGTGTCAGCTTTGTGATGCTGAATTTTAATCACTGATCATTTATTTTCCACTTCCTACACTAAAATATTACATTACAAAACAAATATTTTGCACTCCTGTGAAAATAATGTGGCAGATTACAATAATATTTGTTATTTATTTACATGGGAAGGTGCTGTGGCTGAATTTAAGTGCAAAATAAAACTTTTTTAGTTGAATTGTTTTTAAAACTACTTGAGTTTGATGAATATTGTGAAATATTTTCGTAGTAATGTGTCATCCTGGGTTTTTTTTTTCTTATTTTGGATGCAAAATTGTGCATTTTCTAAAACCTGTTTACACATAATGTTTGTTTGTTTATTTATTTCAGCATATTTTCCACTTACAGTTCAGTTTTCATGCCTGTTTTCACTCCATTCTTGCAACTCTGAGCTGAAATTAACACGCTTCGTGCTTTTATTTTGAAACCAACTTTGCTTTCTGACCGTTTTCGTGTCGTTCCGGGTGACTTGACGCACTCTGCTGCAGAGGTAACTCTTATCTCCGGTTTCTCCCGAAGCGCAAAAAAACATCCCACAGTGCGCAACTTGAGCAGAAACAGCCGCACCGACGCGCCAAACCTTCACATCCGCAGCTTTTCCGGTTTTAAGACGCGAGCAACTGATTGATTTAAACGCTGGAAGAAAAAGCAGCAGCTCGGAGCTCATCAGCGTGATTGACAGGCGGCAGCAGCCAATCAGAGGCCTGGGACCGCTCCGCTCCAGCCAATGGGAGGCCGTGATTGGTGCTCGGGCCGCAGTGACTCCGTTGCGGGAGGCAGCCTGGGGGGTTTCGGTCGAGTCAAGCTCGCAGCGATTACCAAAACTGAGACCGGAACTAGAGCGGTTTGGAATACAAAATAAAACCGGTGCTTGCAAATCTACAGTTTATGCGCTAGAATGGTTTTAACATGAATACAGCTCTGAAGATAAATATTAAAGGTGTTTTCAGTATTTAACTGAAACATTGAGAAAACCAAGGATTCTGGGAATTATGTTATTATTGACTTAATATTACATAAACAAGGATTTTGTTTACATTTTGGCACTGTGTGTTTTGCTGCTGTTACGCTCTAAATGTGTCCGCTGTGGGATTAAAAACTCAAAATAAGACAATAAAGCTTATTAACACACTGATAACAGTCGTACTTTGTGCACTAGAAATATGACAACTGAGGGAAAAAAGTCACGTTTTGTTTTTTATAAAGCTCGTTGAAGTCAAGCGTCCAGTAAAACTAAATATTTATACACGTTCAGCATTTCAAACTAACCTAACAAGAATAAATACTGGCATTAAGACTCTGTTTTTACCACATTTATTCACATATTAAGTATTAAAACCCGACAAAACACTTGCTGTTTGATTAGAATAAATATTACACCTGAGACAGTGAATAAATCTGTTTATTCTGTTCCTGCTCATCTCCAGACTTCATCCACTGTTTATGTGACATAAACATGCTGGATATTCGTTTATCTTTCACACTTTAAACTGTTTATTCTGCCGTGTTCATCTCAGCACATTCAAACTGACTTTTAAACTTTTTCTCACTGAGACGTTCCACATTTTACGGCTTCTTTCTTTCTTGTTAGATGAAAAACTGCAACGACAGTGAAGTTAAATCTAATTCGAACAGCTCAGAGCCCACAGCGTCACTGGTTATGGACTAAATATTAAACTAAACACTAGAATACAAATAAAAACCCAGCTACCCATGCATTTACTGGCTTCCCTTTAGAAAAGCACTGTTTTTTTTTCTATCTATTTCTTTTTATGTGGATTATTTTGGGTTTTGCTTGATTTTTTGGACATTATTTTTATTTTAATCCTTATTTTTTGAAGAAAAAAACTACAAATCATTAATGCAACATATTTTCAGGCATGAATTACTCGTCATTTGCTCCAAACATGCAGGTTTACTTAATAAACATTTGATATTATTTCATCTTGATGTCAGTATTATTGCCAGTTTTACTTTTTCACTTCTACTTTTATTGTAGCTGACTATTTTGTCTTTACTTACATCCTATCAAACACATTTAATGCGACGTTGTTTTGTTTTTTTTTAAAAAATCAATATCTGCCCTTCATGATAAATTCCGCCTCATCTGGTTTTGTGCTCCAATTCGTTTGCTTTTATTTTGTAGGATGATACCGGATGCGTCCACCTCGCCGTCGCGCAGCTTGACAGCGGGGGTCCGTCTCGGTAGGCCTCGGTGAATACAAATAAGCACAAAGTTTGCAGTAATAAAACACGATGTCCCCCGTTTCAAACACCTCAAATAACCGGAATAAATCCGCGCCGAGGCCCAGCAGAGTCCCGCAGAGCCTCGTCCGGTTCCCACTTGGCTGCCCCGCCGCCGCCGCTGCTGCTGCCGGGCTGCCCGTCATTCAGCCCCGCAGTAGCGCCGCGGCTCCCGCTGACGGATGCATTTCACCGAGAACCGGACAAGTTGTGGCCGCCGCAGAAAGAAAAACGCGTCCCTCACCTTCGCTCTCCAGTCGACGGGCTCCTCCTCGATCACATCGCTGCGGGGGGATCCGCGGCCGGAGCGGCGCGCCGAGCGTCCATGGTCCCGTACCAGGAAGTCCGGAGCACTTCTCCAACTCCGTGTGGAGGCAGCAGGATTCCAGCCAGGTAGCAATGCGCCGCCCGCCGGGCTCAGCTGATCTCACCGGCTGCTGCTGCTGCTGCTGCTGCTGCGGCGGCGGAGCTCCGACCTGCAGCAGGAGGAGCCGCTCCAGGCAGGTGTTCTGGTCTCAGGTGGAGAACCGAGCCGCAGGACTCACCTGGAGACACTAATCCACCTTCATCAGGTCCTGTTGCTAAATAAACACCCATAAATCACGTTAATCCGCCTCTCAGTGGGTCTGTGCTGCTTAGAAAAACAAGATTAGTTTGGTTTTATTCTTTATTTCATATCAGATAAACTTTATTAAACCTGAAGGAAACTCTGGTGTTCAGAAAATAATATTTTAAAAAAAGAAATAATATTACACATGATAATAAAATATTCTAAAGTGATTTATACTCAAACTACTGAGGAAGTTATTTCTGTAAATTACTTTAATATTTGTTATTAATTCATTTATTTGTCTGGAAAGTGAATTTAATAAATGTGATAATTAACAATAAACTGTATTTAAATGGTGATTTTTATTTATTTTTTGACCGATATTGCAAAAAAGATTTTAGTGGGTTTGAGATTATTTTTTTTTTTGCAACCCAAAATTGTATTTTCTGTAAAACATCATTACATATAAATTAAATTTTTATTGTATTTTGTTTTATTTATTTTATTTGTATTTTATTAGGGTCCGAGCACCCAAAAGGGTGCGAAG